TGTGGCCCTCAGGCCTGGTTTTAATTGCTTTTTTGTCAAACATTCTTCTAAGTGGTATAGTATTTGTCTGTCCACTTGCTGTACAGAGGTAACTCATGGTTGCTGTGATGCTAAACACTGTGACACTGATGTGTCAAATACGATAATAGTTACCCATAGTGGATAGGGTCTGGTGCAGCTTCCTGATTAAAACAAGCCTGAAAGCAGGAGTGACATCCACTTCTGAAATAGTTTGCCTCTGAAAACTCTATGAACATGACGAAATGATGAAAGTTATACAAGTGTCCAGGTCTTTCATTCGTAAGGTCACTATGAGTCGTCTGCGACTCGACGGCACTTAACAAGAACGACAACAAGCCTTCAAACAGGACGTGATGTGCTCTTTGCTCTGTGTCATTCTGTCTCACATTCACCGAGAATTCTAATGTATAAAAATTTGGATTCATAAGTGAGGGTGAACAGTCGGTGTTTACAATGTTATATAGCGTTTTCATTCTCTTGTTTCAGGAAATAGAAGTCCAGGAAACCTGGCAGCGTGCCTGATTTGTGTAAGATTTCATATTATTTGCCTCACCTTAAACTTAGCTTGTTGTACTTGAATGCAAATATCTTGGCCATTCTGAGTTTTCCTTCATCCTTCTCTGTGGCGCCCAGTGCAAGGTGGTCCTGGTAGTGTTGATCAAGACGAAAGGCAGTAGGTAGTATGAACGCCAACTTCTATTTTCATCAACAGTTCATGAATCTCAAGTGGAGAGGAAGCCAGTGCTGGATTTGAATACGTCCCGGTGATGTGTGTGGCTGGGCGCTAGGTTTAAGGCACGGGTTGTACTGATTCTCAAGACGTTTCACGCGCCACGTCTACACAGAGTTCTCATGCTTTAGGAGTCTGTAACGTCGGCAGCTGTCAGTCCTGAGTGGCAGCGGGCAGCTCTGGCACCAAGGTGACTCACGATCACCCAGAGGCTGCTGACTCCCGAGTCAGAGGTACCAGCTTTCCCTCCCTTCATCACCAGGGCGTCTCGATCCCACAGCAAGGACAAGTGTCCTCTAGGAGACCTCAGGTACTCCTCTAACCCAGCCTTCGGGAACTTCCTACAGCATCTCCTTTCTTTCCAAAGTCGCTTCCTTCTCCAGACACCCTCTTTGGAGTCAAACCTTCTATCCCTGTGACTGTTAGACTTTCTGAAATAGTAATCAGTAAGGGTCATTTTGGTTGAATAGTCGGAAAGATGCTTTGTGAATAATTGGAGTTTCTAGTTGTCATTTTGGAAGCTCTGGTGGCCTACTTGTAAAAAGCTTCACTG